AGTGAAGCAACGTCCTCCACACCTAGACTGAAGAACAAAAGGACAGCAACTTGTCTGTTCCCCTTCCCCAATTCCCCAATGCTGTTCCCCTCCCCAAATTCCCCAATAAAAAAATCTTTAAAAAATATACATATATTACAGAAACACATAAGAATAAATTTTGACCTTGGATTAGGCGATGGTTTCTTAGCTATGACACCAAAAACACAAGCCACAAAAGAAAAAGTAGATAAACTGGTCTTCATCAAAATTAAAAACTTTTGTGCTGCAAAGGAAACCATCAAGAAAGTGGAAAGACAACCCACAGAATGGGAAAAAACATTTGCAAATTATATAACTAATAAGGAACCTATAGGTAGAATATATTAAGAACTCACATAACTCAATAATCAAAAGACGACCCAATTACAAATTGGGCAGAGAATCTAAGACAGTTTTCCAAAGAAGATATACAAATGGCCAATAAGCACATGAAAGATGCTCATCATTAACCATCAGGAAAATATAAATCAAAACCACAATGAGATACTACTTCACACCCATTAAGATAGCTATAATTAAAAAGACAGGTAATAACAAGTGTTGGTGAGGATGTAGACAAATTGGAATCCTCATACGCTGTTAGTTAGAATGAACAATAGTGCAGCCACTCTGGAAACCAGTCTGGCAGTTACTCAAAAGGTTAAGCACAGAGCAGCATATGGCCCAGCAATTCCACTCCTATGTATATACCCAAGAGAAATGAAAACATATCAACAAAAAACTTGTACACAAATAGTCATAGCAGCATTATTCATAAAAGCCAAGAAGTGGAAACAATCCAAATGTCCATCAACTAATAAATGGATAAATAAAATATACTAAATACATAGAATGGAATATTATCCAATGGATAGGAATGAAGTACTGCTACGTGCCACGAGGTCGATGAACTTTGAAAGCATGATGCTCAGTGAAATAAACCAGTCACAAAAGCCACATACCGTATAATCCCATTTATATGAAATGCCCAGAAAAGGCTAATCTATAGAGACACAAAGTAGATTAATGGTTGCCTGGGGCTGGGGTGGGGGTGAGGGGAAAAGGGGCTGCTAATGGGTACAGGACTTTTTGGGGTGATGAAAATGTCCTGAAATTGGTTGGAGCAATATTTGCACAACCCTTCGAATATACTAAAACCACTGAACTGTACACTTTAAAAGGATTAATTGTATGGCATGTTAATTACAGTCAATCCTCATCATTCGCATATTCCTTATTTGTGAACCCACCTATTGGCTAAAATTTATTTGTAATCCCAAAAATCATTACTGCCGGTGCTTTTGTGGTCCTTTGCAGACAAGCAAAGAGTTGTGAAAAATTTGAGTTGCCAGCTGTGCATATCACCAGCTGAGGTTGAACAAGGCTTTGTTTCAGCTTTCACATTGTAAACAGGTATGAAGATATGTTTAGTGGCAAGTTTTTTGCATTTTTGCATTTTGTTGGTAATTTGCTGTTTAAAATGTTACTATCTAATATTTCTAAGTATTAGAAGGCTGTGATGTATCTTATCGAGAAAATACTTGTATTTGATAAGCTTTATTCAGGTATGTGCTACAGTGTTATTGGCTCTGAGTTCAATGTAAATGAATCAACAATATATTTTAAATGAGGTGTCTTTAAATAAACATACACATAAAACAAGGTTAGGTATAGGCTGGTTGACCAAAATGTTGTAACCAGAGGCTCACAGGAGCCTAACCCTGTACCTTCCCCAGGAGCAAGGTGGTTGGTTCAGTATCTGCTAATTCAGTGTTTGAGGCAATTTTATAGAACATTAAGTACCATAAGTAACAAGAATTGACTGCATATCTCAGGGGTCAGACCGAAGAGCCACTGGGGATCAGCAAACTGCGGCTCACAAACCATATGCGGCTCTTTGGGTACGTACATGTGGCTCTGAAGTAAAATTGAAAATGAAAATAAAACTATCATAGTTTCATTTATAAAATTTTTAAAGGACATTATNTTATAAGTAGCCATCCACAACTGCTATAACATTCTAGGCCAGGGGTCAGCAAACTGTGGCTCATGAGCCACATGCAGCTCTTTGGGTACGTACATGTGGCTCTGAAGTAAAATTGAAAATGAAAATAAAACTATCATAGTTTCATTTATAAAATTTTTAAAGGACATTATTCACATAATGGTGATTATGTAAAAATATATTTATGGCTCTTGAATAATTTTTAAATTGTGAGGGATAGGATTGGCTCTTCCAGGGGTCAGCAAACTTTTGGGATGGAACGTACCCAAAGAGCTGCATGTGGCTCGTGGGCCGCAGTTTGCCAACCCCTGGCATATCTCAATAAGGCTATTAGTTTTAAAGTTATTTATTTATTATAGATAAAATCAGAAAATGATACGTAGCAAAAGGCTAATGGTGGTTCTCTCTGGAATTTTTGTGGGTTTTTTTTTTTAATTTCTGTTTGTGTTTACTTTTACTACAATAAAAATGATATTATTTTCTGCTTTCAAAAACGTAAGAAAAACTGGACTGCCAGCCCCGGCAAAGGAGTAAGTCCACTACTGGCCTGTAGCTAAGATTTCCGAGAAACACAGCCCATGGGACCTGGAGAGTGCAGGGGGTGGGTATGAAGAGAAGCAAGCTAGATTTGTGTTTTGTTTTTTTTAGCTGAGCTATCCTGCCACCTGTTGGCAGCTCAGCAGCTGCTCAGCTCGGGCCGGGACTCGAACCGGGACTCGAACCGCTGTTGCTCAGAGCTCACACTCTTGAGCGAGCTCTTAACCAACTGAGCCACTCAGTCAGGCCCTAAGAGAAGCAAGCTAGAGAAGTGGCTCCCTTCATTCTGTGTATGCATACTGGCACATGGCTCAGAGTCACCCCTGAGCTGTACAGGCACAGCGTGGACCGAAAGAAGCACGAGCCTTTGGGAACCAAACTAACCCAGGAGCCACTGTTCACAGGAGGTGAGAAACAACTGATAGTCTGAACTTGACCAGGTTGGCTGCCTGCTGGAAGAAAAGAGACAAACAAAAAAGAAGCACCCTTCTTTAGGGGATTTTAACAGGAGTCAGTGTCTTACAATATAATACTCAAAGTTGGACCCAGAGAAAAGGTGACAAGAGAATCCAGAAATTGTGTCCAAAGAGAGACAACTCCTCCTCTGCGACAGTAGGAAGAGGGAGAATGGCAAGAAAATAAATGGCTGCGGCAGTTATTGCTTCTATTTTCTTTATGAAAGCCGGAGATGGGGGAATGGCAAGAACTTTAAGGGGTGTTTAAGGTTTGAATTATCAGTGTGGGCCATGGGAGATGGAGGTGACAAGGAGCAGGCAAGAAAAATACTAAGCAGCACTGGGGACCCAGCTGGGATTGTAAGCGCTAGTATGGACGTGGTTCAAATCTACACGAATGAAGTATTTTCTCCCATAAAGCTTGATTATTTGGGAGACTGAAAGGAGAAAGGGCTGATCCAGGGCTGAGAATTTTCAGGGCTGGCATGGCAGAAAGACAAAGAAGGATGTGTCCACAAAGCTGTGCCCTCTGCTGAACAGCCAGGGTTAGGGATCCCTCTTCTGTGCTCAGTTAATGCCCGATGAATCCTCTAGCACGAGTTGTGCTGCTTCATAACCATCTGCTTATGTGTCAGTCTCTCTTCTTTAGAAATTTGAGTGCTGTGTCTTGTTCACAGCTGTATCTTTGATAGTTAGTACCTAAATAATTGCTAACACCTAACAGGTGCTCAATAAGTGTTTGAATGATTGACTAATTCATTCAAAATGTATTTAGCGAGAGACTCCCAGGTACCAGCACTGTGCTAAGGGCTGCCCCTACACTGGTAAACAAAACAGGTGTGGTGCTTTCCTTGTGAAGCTTACAGACCAGTGGAAAACATGCATATAAGTAAATAATTACAACATGTTTTGTGTACTGAGAAGAAAGCAGAATGCAGGGATAAAGAGAAAGAGAAGAGGGGAGAACTATTTTTGATAAGGTGCTCAGGCAGTCTTTCCTAAGGAGCTGACACTGTAGATGAAACTTGAAGGATGAGAAAGGACCAGCTTTGTGAAGAAAACAGGGAAGAATGTCCAGGTAGAGGAAAAAAACACATGCAAAAGACCTGAGGCAGGAAAGGCCACAGCACATTTCAGAATATACCAAGGGTGCCAAAAAAATGTATACAAGTGGACACTGGTCAACGTTGCTCAAGCAGTAGTTCGCTATAATTAGAAGTGTCTGGACACTGATGGTAACCACTTTGAGCACCTCTTATAATTGCAGAAGTCAAACGTGACTTGTATTCATCTTTTATTATCGGTATATATTGAGTATTACAATTTTAATACAGTTTTCCTTTCTTAAAATATGTATGCATTTTTTTGGCACCCTCTGTATAAGTGGCCATGCAGAATAAAACATGACAGCATACCCTTAGGCCAACCTTACAGACCCAAACTAAAATACACAAAAGAGCTGCAGTTTAGTTCTGGAAACCTCAGCCCAAATCCTGCTTTCTGCCTGTATGCCTCCTTTTCTTTCTGCTGTCTTAAAAGCGCCAAGAGGAAATTTCTCTTAATCTCTTTCCTATATCGTAACACTGCTGGTTGCCTGAAGGCTGTTTTTAAAATAACATAAAACCACAAGATGGAAATTATCCAGACAGCAGTAAAATTCTAATGGCAATAAACTAGACTTCAGTTAAGGAACGGGGTAGGCCAGGGTATTTGAACGTTTTTCTTGAAAAACTATTGATCTTAACTCAATACACCAAAACTTAGGCAATATGACATAACCCTAACAAGCTCCAGCCCGGGCTCTGAATAGTTTATTTCTTGATGATCTGCCTTATGCATTACCAGCTTACTGTTGGAGGTCAGGTCCTGGCCACTGGGTGGACGATCCTCCTGACCCCTCGACCCTTCCCCCTCAGAAGCCAATCGTTTCTTCTCCTCTCACACCATAAAAGACAATGGCCACCAGAAATGCCCCTTTTCTAAAGACATAAATATAGTTTTTCCAATAAGCAACAAGCACTCCTGACAATACCGTAGGTTTCAGTGAGAACTCAAGAGTAATCTTAAGTCGGGATAGGTTTTACACACAGGATAGGTTTCTTGTTTTAAAACAAGAGTCTGCTTTTGGCTCCATCTGACCACTCCCAGCTCAGTAAGTGCCTATGATCTGGTTTAAACTCTATGGTCTGCACTACCTGTCTTCTGCTGGAAGCCTCTCTCCGGTGCTTGGGTAGAGGATGCTGGTGGTGATCCAGAAGCAAATCTCGCCATCTTTCAGCTGTCCCAATAGACGATTGCTGCCTGGAGTATAAGCCCTAAAAGACACCAAATTGGATGAGCAGTGAGATAATGCTGGTGAAAATACTGCTGGCTGCAGTGAGAGCCCTGAGGTCATCTACATAGGTCAGGAGAGTCAGATACGTTATGGCATGAAAGTAGACATTACACTGCTCACCACTATTGTGGATCTTAACAGTATCTACAAAGCAATTGTAAGTTTTTTCATCTATAAAACAAGGATAATAATAGAGTCTATTTCCCAGGGTTATTGTGAGAATGGCTACAAAGTTCTAGAACAATTTTGGCTATGGTAAGTGCTTAAGAATATAAGCTGTTATTCATAATAATATTAATATTGATAGTATTAATAAGAGATAACACTGTCGTTCTCATCATCACTGTTGCTGGTAGCACAGCTCTGGCAAGCCCAGGTCAAACTCTAATTTACTTTCTGCTGCTTACTCTTTACTACATTACACTCTACCTGCTCTCTGGCAGAGGCTGGATCCTGAGTTTCATGTAAGACATATTCATGGCACTCCCGAAATAACTCCTTTCTGCATCTCTCATCTGTCATATTACGTGAGGCCTGCCCATAGTTCCTGTGCTAAAAGACAATGGAAACATTGGAATATCAAGAGTCCAGGCAGGAGCACCAGGCCAGGGCAACAGAAAAAGCTTCAGTGAAGAGGCCCAAAGTGGTGTCAGTATGTCAGAAAAGTGTGATACATCACAGAACAAGATGATATTATATCTTTGCCCGTTGTTAATACCTTAATGCTAAGCCCCTGGAGCAGTTACTATGCTGCCCTGTCAATCTTGAGCCAAAACCGAAGCAATTAACTCGTTGCTACTTCTCACGACAGACAGTGCCTCTAACTTATTCTCTGGGAGATGCTAGGTCTTCCCTACTGGGTGAAACATGCCAGTGGCACTCCAGAAGCAATTCCTCTTCCAAACTCCCGTCTCTCAAAAGATGAGGGTTGCTTGATATACTTGTTTTAAAGGAATAACAAAATACAAAACTAATTGCTTAAGCAGAAATGATGGGCTAGTGACAATAATGTAGACTTCAGTGACAACCCCAGAATGATGATACTAGGGGAGGATAATATAACAGTTAGGGGTGTGCGTGTGCGTGTGTGTGTTTAATATAAAATGTCTAAGCATACATCAAAGTAGGGAGAAAAACAGTATAATGAACCCCAAGATACCCATTACCCAGCTTCAACAATTAGCAACGTTGTTTTTTCATTTATCTCTTCTCCCACTTTTTTCCTGGAATATTTCAGAGCAAATCTCAGATTATTCTTGTTTTTTTTTTTTTTTTTTTTTTTTTTTTTTTTTTTTTTTTTTGCGTGGGACAACTCTTAATTCAGCAACACATTCGAAAGAAGGCAATAAGGCAATATTTTTTATAATGTTGCTAGCATTTTCCTAAGGTAAAGCGAGAAAACAGGCTTGTGTCATTTCTGCTAGTACTCCTACTTGGTGTCCCCAATAACTGCACAAATGCTAAAGGTGGTAAAGTTCAGAAAGTTTTGAGGCAGCAAACAGCATGTTTTTCTCCATCATAATGGGTTTTCAAACTGGATGCCTGGGTTTTGGTGTACTGCTTCAGTTGTCCAGGAGCAGAATCCCTTCAGTATTTATAAGACAATGTATTATATAAGGGCCTAATTAAATATGCTAAAGGACTTGAGTTTAACAAAACAATTTACTATTAGTCAATCAATGTTATATAAAACCTGTCTCTTGTTTACCCCAAATAATAGAGGTATGCTTTCTCACCTGGACTTATTTTGAAAAAATGGAAGAGATTATATTCTCAGCCTAACTCTAGAAGCCTTAATTCTATGTAGCCTATATACAAGCTAGCTTGACAAGCTCCAGCCCAAATCTTAAACAATTTCATCTCTGTTAACTCTTTTGGAAAGTGACAGTCCTCCCTGTATTCTGCTCTACCTGGTCTCCAGAGGAGGCTTGGACCTGGATTTGAGGGAAAACATACTGATCATACTCCAGAGGCAATTCATCTCTCACTCTCTCTTCTCTCATAAAAGATGACAGCTGCTTGGAAAACAAAAACAGAAAAGAAACTGCCTAACCAGAGCAACATGCTAATCATACTTCTCATTATTCACAGTGGCCAAGACATGGATGATTAGATAAAGATGCAGTACATATATATAATGGAATATTACTTGGCCACAGAAAAGATGAAATAATGCCATTTGTGACAACAGGGATGGATCTTGAGGTTATCATGCTAAGCGAAGTAAGTCACACAGAAAAAGTCGAGAACCATACAACTTCACTCATATGTGGGATATAAAACTGAAAGCAACAAATAAGACAAAAAACAAAAACTCATAGACACAGACAAGTTTAGTGGTTACCAGAGAGTTGGGGGGAGGTGAGAGGTAGAAAAGGATAAAGGTAGTCAAATATATAGTGATGGAAGGAGATTTGACTTTGGGTGGTGAGCACAATGCAATATACAGATGTATTACAGAATTATACACTTGAAACCTATATAATTTTATTAACCAATGTCATACCAATAAATGTAATAAAAAAAATACTGTAGGCTTCAATGTGAACTCTAGGGAAACAGTACCAGGTGAAGACATTCTGATACATTTTGATTTGAACAAGGATGTTACACTTTTAGCCCAACTCTTTAGACTTTAATTTTTTTTTTTAAAGATTTTATTGGGGAATTGGGGGAGGGAACAGCGTTGAGGAATTGGGGAAGGGGAACAGACAAGTTGCTGTCCTTTTGTTATTTAGTCTAGTTGTAGAGGACGTCACTTCACTGGCCCATGTTGGTATTATCATTGCGCTCTTCCCAGGTGAGGCAGTCACTTGCCGGCCATTGGACAGCCACTCACAGCACCTCACGGCAGCTCACGCTGGCTGCCGGCCACTCACGGTAGCTCGCTGCAGCCTACGCTGTTGCTGGTGACTCACGGCAGCCCAGCTCCAGGTTGATCTGTTGTTCACCATCTTAGCTGTAGAGGGCACAGCATCACTGGCCCTCATGTGGGATCCGAACCAGTGCCCTGCTGGCGTCCCAAGCAAACTCTTAACCAACGCACCACTCGGCCGGCCCAGTAGACTTTAATTTTTAATCCTAAAACATGTACAGAATGTTCTCACATTTTAAGCATTGGGTCTTCAGAAAAATCATGATGCATGCTTGCAACAGATAGCGCTAGTTCATTTTTGGAAGTACTAGAGTCATTCGCATCTATGTTATTAGTATGTCATTTGACAGCTGACAGTTCTAGCTTCATTCTAATAAAAAACTGAGCGATTTGGTTGAGTTTTGGAGATTTTACAACAAGTTGGAGATGGAAGACCAAACTGCATTTTTGCCATATTTTACTGTTTTACTTCCCTAAAGGGAAGAACACGCATCAAGCTTGTGAAAAGTTGCATCAAGTTTACAGTGACAATGCTCTACAAGAACATCAGTGCCATTAATGGTTCACGAAATTCCGTGCTGGTGATTTTGATCTCAACAACACTCCTTGGTCAGGGAGGCCCACCGAGGTTGATGATGACAAAATAAAGGCTTTGATCAAGTCAAACTCACGTTACACGACACAAGAGATTGCAGAAACATTGAACATCCATCATTCAAGCGTTCACGACCACCTAAAGAAGCAAGCTCGATATTTGGGTTCTGCAAGAACTCAAAGTTCATTTGACGGCGCATATAAACATCTGCAATGTGCTCATTAAACGTGAGGAAAATGATCCTTTTTTGAAGCGACTGGTAACTGGTGATGAGAAGTGGACTGTTGACAACAATGTGGTGCGCAAACGGTCTTGGTCCCGACGTGATGATTCGCCTCAAACGACATCGAAAGCAGACATTCATCAGAGGGAGGTTATGCTCTCAGTGTGGTGGGATTTTAAAGGTGTCATGTTGTATTTTTGTTTTTGTGGGGTTTTTTTAAAGATTTTTTTATTGGGGAACTGGGGGATGGGAACAGTGCTGGGGAATAGTGGGGAGGGGAAAAGACAAGTTGCTGTTGTTTTTTTGTTCTTCAGTCTAGTTGTGGAGGACGTTGCTTCACTGGCCCAAGTTGGCACCATCATTGCGCTCTTCCCGGG